TCAGGCGTGTTCGGCCCTTCTTGATGGCTCCGTCTCTCTTCTGTTGGGTCTGAAATGACTTCAGCTTCACAGATCCACTCGCTCACCTCCCCCTCTAAGCAGGAAAAATCTTCTTTCTCACATTGTCCTCCTCCTTATAAAAAAATGAGAGACAGAGGAGGTGGGAAATCAAGTCCAGGTTCCTCCTCAGTAGATAAAACTTCAGAAAGTTGTATGGGAATCAGCTCTGGACTTCCCCCCAGTGTCTGACTAATGGTTGTGGATTTCCCGTCTTCCATTTGCGTTACATCAACTGTTTTGATGATTTCCATTGTCTGTTTCTTCTGTGGAGCTAGGTGCTTCCTTGTTTTGCGCAGGACAGTTGTGGCTCATGGTTGTGCACTCTTCAGCCTGCGACTCTCCTGGTGAAATAACAGAACCCTGTTCATGCCAAGATGTCATGTTTGTTGCCATGGCAGCAAGTCTGCTGAAGTTAATCTGGCTGCTTGGCCTGAAGTGTGAAATCAAAGGAACAGAGGAACAAACGCGCGAGTTTAACCATAAAGCCTCAATAATCACTTCACAATCTCTTATTTCAGCACTCGTCACACAATTCACATGATTCAAATGATCACAATGTTCAGTGAATTCAGAAAGATCAAAGACTAATTATTCATGTGCAGTTCAATGTTTCATCTGATCTCAGCAGAGATCTGAAATACAAATTTATAAAAGACTCGTGTTTAGGTTTGAAACCAGAATCGTTCTTAGTGAAGCTGTCCAAGGTTGCAGCAACGACGTGACATGAAGGAGTTCCTGATGCACAGGAACAAGTCAAATTAATTTAAACAGCTCACAGAGCACACAACCAGCACATTTCTTTGTGTGTGTGAAATGTTTTTAGGTGGCCGATGAGTGTCAAACTAACGATGCGTCACATGATCCTGTCGGCTGCCAGATTAATGCGCACGTACAACAAACCATCAGTCAGACCCTATAAAGCTGGAGTAGTTCACTTCGTGCTCACGTGTCAACATTATTCTGTTTCTTCAGTCTGATGGTTGAATGCTTGGTCAGTCGGTTAATAAATGTAGCCTTTTTATAAATTGTAGCTTTTTAATCTCAACATCTGCTGAACAAATATTTTCCAGGAAGAATACTTCGTCCCAACACCAAGTTTCTACGTACCACACAGTTTTTATTTCAGTGAATCACCTCAGTCCATGGTTTTGGTGTCTCACGTCTCACATTTGATTCCCTCTGGGATAAACTGAAGATCTGTCCAAGATTTAGCCGTCCTCTCATACAATCACCATCGTCATCCTCAGTCCTTCTGCCCAGTGCCGTGGGGCCAGTACAAAAAGAATGGACCAGCAACCTTGGCTGATCTTCACCAGGATAATGGACAAACCACTTCAAATTCTTCTTCATGTAGGGATCTGCACCTGCCCTGCTGTGTGCAGATAGTTAATGACTC